GCAATAGCACTTAGACTTGTATACCGCTTCACAGTGCTTTACAGCCCTCTCTAATCTGTTTTACAGAGTCAGCTTTTTGCCCCCAACAATCTGGGTCCTCATTTTACCGACCTCGGAAGGATGGAAGGCTGAGTCAGCCTTGAGCTGGTCAGGATCGAACTGCTGGCAGTGGGCAGAGTCAGCCTGCAATATTGCATTCCAACCACAGTGCCACCACAGCTCTCCTTACCCTCCCTCCCTCCCTCCCTTCCTTCCTTTCCTTCCTTTCTTCCTTTCTTCCTTCCTTCCCTTCCTTCCTTTCCTTCCTTCCGACTTAGCAGTAGCACTTAGACTTATATACCGCTTCACAATGCTTTATAGCCCTCTCTAATCTGTTTTACAGAGTCAGCTTTTTACCCCCAACAATCTGGGTCCTCGTTTTAACAACCTCAGAAGGATGGAAGGCTAAGTCAGCCTTGAGCCGGTGAGAATCGAACTGCTGGCAGTGGGCAGAGTCAGCCTGCAGTGCTGCATTCCAACCACTGCGCCAGCACGGTGATGTCATGGTATGTCCAGCCAAATCCAAGCAGTCAACAAGGCAGTGAACAGAGGATTAAAACCAACAGAACATGCATAATAAATAATAGTGACACGATAATAGCCTAGGGACACCTGAGGACAACCTAACCACATAATCCCAGTTATTCAAAAAAAAAAAAAAAAGCGCCACAATGTCCAAGTCTCCCTGCCTCTCCCCCACCCCATGAGCTCACTCTAGAGCCAGGCCAGGCCGAGGTCCAAAGAACAAGTAATAGGAGAAACAAGACATCATCCCATTGTTTTCCTCAAAAAAAAAAATAAAAATCACAAGCCAAAGAAGTCCCAGATAATGCAATAAAACCAGGGTCTAGTCACCATGAAGAGTCTGCTGTTGGGAGACAAGGCTGCACTGGATTGGAGTGATTTTATTGGCAAAAGAGCATCCCAATTGGTCAAAGCAGCCAGGTATTATTATTATTATTATTATTATTATTATTATTATTATTATTATTATTATTATTATTATTATTATTATGTTGGAAGGGACCTTGGAGGTCATCTAGTCCAACTCCCTGCTCAGGCAGGAAACCCTATACCATTTCAGACAAATGGCTGTCCAGTCTCTTCTTAAGAACTTCCAGTGTTAGAACACAAGTCAGCTTAAAGCAAAGTTGGTAGATGGAAATCCACCAACACAACAAAGGAGGAGATATGGAGATGTAGGTGCCGTCTGCTTCCCTATCACCACAATGTAGGCCTGAACATGGGCACATGCAATATATTAAGTCTGGTTACCTGTGTTGGTGAGCACACCTAGTATCACTTACTTGTGGATGACACCTCGGTGTCATAAAGACCGAGACCAAATGTGCACAGTTGAATTAATTCTGTAAATCGTGGCTTTTTTTGTTGGGCCAACACAACCGTTGCAGGCATCCCATCTCAGGCTGATGGAAATGTTTGATACTATTTTTTCAGCCGTGGGGCACAGAAAAAGCTCAGGAGCTCAGGGGTTTAGTTATAGAGCCTCAAGGTGTCCCCACTTTTGCAGAAATGAAAAGTGAACATGTTGACAACTCAGTAGAGAGGCCTCAAGGATAAGTGCATTTATTTATCCTTCAGTCCCTTTCAGACATGTCAGAAGAAAACCTGGTTTTTAAGAAGAGGCTAGAGCAGGGCTCTGCAACCTTGACAACTTTTCAGACTTGTGGACTTCAGCTCCCAGAATTCTTCAGCCAGCATAGTTTAAAGTTGTCAAGGTTGCAGACTCCTGGATTACTAGACAGTCCCTTCTCTGAGATGGTATAGGTTCTCCTGCTTGAGCCAGGGGCTGGACTAGAAGACCTCCAAGGTCCCTTCCAGCTCCTATTCTATTCTATTCTATTCTATTCTATTCTATTCTATTCTATATTCTATATTCTATATTCTATATTCTATATTCTATTCTATTCTATATTCCATTCCATTCCATGTTATTCTATCCCATTCTATTGTTCTGTTCTGTTCTGTTCTGTTCTTCTATTCCAAACTTCCCTATCCAGTCTTCGGGGCCACAAGTTCTAAATGGTCTCCTACTCGAATCTAATTCGGCTTCCGTTTCAGAGCTCAGCCAAGGACTGGCCACCGGCCTTGATTTTTTCTCCCCAAGCTCCAAGGCATGGGGGGGGGGGAATGCTTCCACTCAGCAAATTCTGATCTGGATGCTGTTCGCATTTGACGCCCAGAAGCAGAAACGGCTCTCCAAGGCAAGGGCCTGGGGGGGGGAGAGGGGCTTGTGCGCAAGAACCAGGCTCCCTTCCCTGTGTACAACACAACTGCACACCCGCAGGTGTTTCACAGAGATCCGAAGGGAGGGGCTGGGGTGGACTGAACCATTTCAGCCTTTCAAGGGGGGCGGGGGGAGGCCATCACTGAACGGGTCTGGAAGCCCAGCCTGTTCCTTGAACTCTTGCCAGGCAGTTGTGTGTGTATGTGTGTGTGTGTGGGGGGGGGGTTGCATTTTACATAATGAGACAATTAAAGGTGTATCTACCTGTGCAAGTATGCATGTGCAGTCTCTCTCTCTCTCTCTCTCTCTCTCTCTCTCTCTCTCACACACACACACACACACACACACACACACACACACCCCTCTCCTGTAAGCTGAAGCAAAAGTCCAGGGTGGTGACATCACCGCAAGTAAGCACTCTGCTGCCGGGCTGTCTTCCTTCCTGCAAGCTTCAAAAGAAGAAGACTTTTCATGGCACTTCCCGGTTCAAGATTTGTACCTGCCGATCAAAGCCCAAAGTGTTCCCCATCTGGCCTTTCCCCCCCCCCACACACACACACCTTTTGCGTGGGGAAAAAGCAGCCCAGGGAGAGAAATGAGAGAAGGCAGCTGCCCTGGCTAGGCCCTCAAAAAACAAAAAACAAAAACCTCTGCAAAAGGGAGGCAGGGTGATTTTTCAATAAAAGAATATTCTTGATGTGGCATTTCATCGGAGTGAAAGTCCTCTGGGGTTAGCCTACCAGAGTCCCCCCCCCTCCCCCCAAAAAATCTCTTCTCTGGGGTAAGGAGTCTGGTCAAGGTTAGGGAGCAGCCTGAAAGTTGCAATTTGTGGTTATTGACAGGCAAAAAAGTCCTTAACCGGGCTGTGCGGTATGATTTCTCTTTTAGGTTTGACTTTTGGCCTTGTCTCAGTTTCTCTCGGCTGCAGTAAATCTCTTTACAAAGCAGGAGGTGCCGTTTCCTTCGTTTGGGGTTCAAAAAAAAAATATATAGAAGCAAACGGCAAGAATAGCTTTGCTGCTTGTTTTTCTTAAGCTTTGTATTTCCAAAACAGGAAGTTTCTCTCTCTCTCTGAAGTGGGGAGGGGGGGGGGAAAGGCCCAGCAAGATTGTGTATTGCCTACAGGTGCAAAATGCTCCTTCAATCCACCTTTCTCTTCTTGATCACCTCCATGCTTTTTTGCAGCAAAGTTGATATTTTGGGGTGTGAAATTACTTCAGAAGTGGGGCATCTTTATACATTGCAACTTCAGCACACAGGCACACAAAACAATACTGATGTGAAGTCAAAGATAGGCATGTGGGCAGCTTATTTGGAAATGAACTGCTACAGGTGTGTAGTTTCTACTAGAACTGTTTCTGTGCTCCTGACCTCCCTAAATCCTGCTTAGGTTTAAACAAAACTCTAGATGTGAATGTCCTTGATATGAAGTGGTTAAGGCACCAGCCTACAAACCGGGAGACTGTGAATTCTAGTAGGGAGGAGGAGTACTAAATATATTTGCTACCTTGTTTATTCCAACTTTATTATTATTATTATTACTACTACTTAGTAGGGAGGAGTACTAAATATATTTGCTACCTTTATTCCAACTTTATTATTATTACTACTACTTAGTAGGGAGGAGGAGTACTAAATATATTTGCTATCTTGTTTATTCCAACTTTATTATTACTACTACTACTACTATTATCATCATCACCATCATCATTATCATTATATTTGTAAAAACAAGGCAGGATACAAATTATTGAACATCCACTTTCTGAGAGGGAAATGGTCTTAAGTCCTTAAAACTAAATTCGGGGAGGGGGGAGTGTAGTTGTGTGAATAAACTCATAATTCATTGACATCAGACATTGAGCAATATTCTGGGAAGTTGAATCGCAAAGAAACCAAAGATTCTTTGAAGGGGTTAATCCAGAGTTCTGCAACCTTGGTAACTTTAAGACTTGTGGACTTCAGCTCCCAGAATTCCTCAGCTAGGCTATGGCCTAGCCCTAGGCAGATGCTGGCTCAGGGATTCTGGGAGTTGAAGTCCACAAGTCATAAAAGAGCCGAGGTTCCCCACCCTTGTTCCAAACCAGGGGTAGGCAGCCTCGGCTCTTTTATGACTCGTGGACTTCAACTCCCAGAATCCCTGAGTCAGCATAGCTGACTCAGGAATTCTGGGAGTTGAAGTCCACGAGTCATAAAAGAACCGAGGTTCCCCAACCTTGTTCTAGACTTTAGTTTGGAAAAAGCCATAGCTGAGGACTACTTATACATCTTGATGTACAGGTAGTTTTCAACTTACAACCATTTATTTAGTGAGCATTCAAAATTACAAGGACAGTAATTTTTCACACTTAACCACCCTTCACAGCGCCCCCCCTCCCTGCCCCGCCCCCCTCCCGCCAGGTACTCCAGACTCAGATGCTTAGCAACTGACTTGTATTTATGACAGTTGCAGGGTCCTGGGGTCATTTGACCCCCTTTGGCAGCAACCAAAGTCAATGGGGAAGCCAGAATCCACTTAACAAATGTGTTATTAGTTTAACAACTGCAGTGATTCTTGCTACTGTGGCAAGAAAAGTTATAAAATGGGACAAAACTAGCCTTTTTGTTTAGCCATGGAAATTTTGGGCTCATTCACGGTCATAAATCAAGGACTATATTTGGAAAATAGGCAAATTGTTCCAGCAGGTTTTATAAAACACACAAAGACAGCTTATAGGTTTATATATGGCAGTCGTCTTTATTGATTGCTTGATGTAAAACAGTATCACTTGGCAACTGGTTTTTTGTTTGTTTGTTTTTTCTGCACATTACACAAAAAAATTGAACTGGCTCAGTCTGCAATCATTTAAGCACAGCCATATTAATTAACAAAACGAATTCCCCGCAGAGGCTAACAACAACAACAACAAAAATCCCCTACCAAATAGAGCATTTGCAAATGCACAAAAACCACGCGCCACTTTGGCTTTCTGGGAAAATATCTTCTAGATTAAAAAATCTTTTTTTAACATAAATAAGTTAGTATAATTTCTCAGTGTCTTTACAGTTATGTACACAGGTACATTTCAAAACTTTTTTTTTTCAAAAAAAAAAAACCCACCTAGAAAATGTAAAAAATACTGTTTCCTTTTCATTTGCCCACTTAATGAAGGCCAGAAAAGTGAGCAAATAAGAGTCTGGACTTCTGAGAATTTATTAATTTCTCCTCTACGTTGTATGTTGTTGGGCAGGACTTTTAAAAAAGTGTAAGAAGACCAAAGGGAAAAAACCCTATGAGAAAATGCCCATTGAAAGAGTTCCTCTTTTGCATCTCCAGAGAGAACTGGGCCTCCTACACAAAACTTTTGTCCTGTGATCTCAAAGCATCACACCCCACCTTAGAAATCACATACTTCCCCAAAGTGCCCGTCTCTTCCAGCGAGGTCAGAACAGGCAAACACTTCCCAGATTGTGTCCTTGACACATAAATTTCACCAGCAAGTTCATTAACCTGCTGGGACAATGATTAAATGCCAATTTATAATCTTGGGATTTTCACACAAGCAAAAAAAAAAAGGGGGGGGGCAATGTTCCTTTAATAAAGGCATCTCTGCTTCAGCCTGGGGTTTGGGAAGCAGATTTCGAACCCATCACCTTTCATTAGCTCCACCCCTTCACAAAACAAACAAAAACTCCCCTCCCCCAAGAGGGGAGAAAGGTTTATGTGCTACATAATGTAAAAACTATTTACACAGGTAGTACAAAGAAGCAAATGAGGAAAAACCTAATTGCAGAATGCTACATCCATTGCTTTTAAGAGGCAGGCCCATTTAAGATGGCCCGGTTTAGTGTTATTCCATTGCCGATTTTTTTTTTTCTTTTCAGTGCTTTAACACGTTCCCCATCCCATGGAGAACCAGTGATATGTTTTCTTTCATTCATTGATTCATACACCTACAGGTGCATATATGAATGCAAGCGCTGGATCTTCCTGGCTTCCTTTGCCTCCTCCACATTGAAGGAAACAAATATTCTTAATTCTGTAATAGAGAAAGAGAAAAGGTGTCAATTGCTGAGGGCTCCAATTCCTCGTTATTATAGCAGTGGTTCTCAACCTTTATAATGCCGCGACCCCCAACCAGTCGTAAGTCGAGGACTACTCAACCGGTTGTAAGTCAAGGACTACTCAACTGGTGCAGCACCGTTTGCAGAATGGGATTTTTGGCGGGCTCAGCAGAGCAGAGACAGCCTGGACAATTCCTACTGGCTTTTGAAAGCCAATAGAATTAGACTCTATTCAAGAGAGTCTATTCGACCCCACATGGGGTCCCGACCACAGGTTGAGAACCACTGTATTAGAGCATCACAGAGTTGTACTAAGTCTGATGTTTTTATTTACCAAATTTCTACAACATCCATCTCATCTAAGTAATTCTAGGCAGTTCACAAACACATATATAAATAAGCAAATATACAAACAAATAAAATCTGCTGTCAAAACATCCTGTGGGTCTACAGCAGTGTTTCTCAACCTTGACAATTTTAAGGCATGTGGACTTCAACTCCCAGAATTCCACAGCCAGCAATGCTGCCTGTGGAATTCTGGGAGTTGAAGTCCACATGCCTTAAAATGGTCAAGGTTGAGAAACACTTGTCTACAGTTACACTGTTTAAATTTATTTTTTAGGTACAGTAGATTCTTATTTTCCTCACAACGATCCTGCAAGGCTGGTTGGGTAGAGAGAGAGGGGACAGGCCCAAAGTCACCCAGCTGGCTTACCTGCCTGAAGCAGGACTAGAACTGACAATCTCCCAATTTCTAGCCTGGTGCTCTCACCACTAGACCAAACTGGTTCTAATCATCAACTGACAGGCAGCATTAAGAGTCAGCCCACCAGTCAATCTGGTTTCTATTATGCCAACTTTTAGAATCCTGTTTTCTAAGTTAAAAGAAAGTTTTTGGCTTTTCAGAAAACTTGCAGATTCTACCGTTTTCATCACTACATGCACACACACGGCTTGATTTGTTTCCCAAATTAGCCAAGGTATGTACACAGAGAGAGACAAAATACAACAATCCAAATAATCGAGTACTCAACCCTTTTGAGCCACAAGCCTAACCAAGATTAGCATTAACTAACCCTGGCCTGCTGCAGAAATTCTTCTAAATATGTTGTGTTCTGCCAACAGCCCATCTTTTTGGTTTTCTCCCTCCCCCCCCCTTTTATAATCTCATCAGACAAAAACAAGACAACTCCCATCAACAAAGATTTCATAACACACTTCTTGACTAAGGAGGGATTCAGTTAATCTGCCCCAATCAGATTTCAGAGTGGAAGCTGACAGAATTATCCACAAATAGGAAACTGCTTCGATGTAGTGAGCCGGGGCTAAATTTTGTGCTATCCTGTTATTTTCTGGGAGGTGTTCAAGAGACAGATAACAACCCCCACTTTGCCCTCCCTCCCTCCCTCCCTCTCTCCCCCTCCCTCTCCCTCTCTCCTGTGATTGGTCCACCCAAAAGCTTTCATTTCCCTTTCAAATGTTCAAGTAAACAGCCAATAGTAGTTAATTTGAACACGTGTCCTCGCTCATCCCAACTGGCATTCCGAGTATCTACTTACTTCCAAGCTGAACGCTCATTTTATTAATTTGAAAATCAGACCTGCCAAGATTCCTACACCATTCCTGCTTATGGAAAAGTCTGTCCAGAATGCCTGTCCTTAATTAACGAGATTCTGCTGCCTTTGAGCTGTTCCATTTACTGCCACTAAGAATACAGTCCAAATAGGTTGTTTGCTGTTCGTTTCCACCGAACTCCACAAAAGCTTTATCTCCATACAGAATAGAGCCTGTACATTTCAAATGATCTACCAATTGTTTACAATGCACAGCAGTTAAGGGGGGGGGGAGATTTTTTTATTTTTAAAAGCCTTTTTTGTGCATTCATTTCATTTTTTTCAAAGACAGATTAAAAAGTAAAGGAAACTTTAACAAAGTCTACGTTGCCACCTTGCTAAAAAAAACAAATATCCTAGGCAAATGCATTCAGAAGTAAAAGCCACCTGTGTCCAGCAAACACAAGTTTATTTCCTATAGTAGAATTACTACTCATTTTCTCTTAAAAGCCACTTCTTTGCTTATGAGTGAGCGTGAATCTGACAGCTTAAAAAACAAAATCACATAAAACTGCATACCTCAGCCAAAGAAATGGCACAGACCGACTTGAACGGATACAAAATAAACAAGCTAACGAAGAAGCATTTCCTTTTAAACAAACCCACCTCGACAAACCACCCATTTACGTCTGGCACTGCTTCGGGCTGGGCTGCTGCTTCTTCTTCTTTTTCTTCTTCGGCGTCTGTTCCTCGGAGTTGGCCACCAGCGGGTCTTCGAGAGGGTCTTCAGAAAGTTCTTCAGCTGTGTTGGCTCTTTTGCTTTGAGGAGAGGAATCTGAGAGGGGAGGATTGGGGGGGGGGAATGAAGAAGGGGGATATTAAAAAAAGATTTATCCTGGCAACTGGTTAGGCACGGAAGAAGGGCAGGAAAAGAGCATCCCTTTGGAAGCATCTCCACAACATGCAGTGCATCCAGGCCAAGGAGGAGAACATCAGAATTGTAAGAGAAGCCTCTTGTGCTGAAGACGGTCTGAAATTGGGCCCGTTTTGAGAGCCAGCAGAGAAAACCAGGGGGTTAAGGCAGGGGGTCCCTGGACCACTCCTGGACCCCGGCATGCCACCAAATGGACTACACAAACAAGCAAAGGACCCTCCGGTCCATGGAAAAACCTCTCTCCAAGTAACTGGTCCCTGGTGGCCCAAAAGGTGGGGGGGCTCTGGCTTAAGGGATTCCCGGAGCCAAGCAGCCCGCCTCGCAGGGTTGTTGTGGTGGTTGTGGGGAAAGTAGGAGGAAAGTATGTGCTGGATATGTTTGCCCGCTGGAATTATTGGGGGAAAGAACAAGGGCGGGATGTGAATCAATAAAACCCGGCAAAAAGGCCAGGCTCCGGCGGGGGTTTGGGAGGGGGTCTCTGGGACACCAGCGGGACTCGCTTGGCTCCCTGCCCGCCCCGGAAAGGCAGATGGCGGGGCCGCTGCCCCGGCGGCCAAGGGCCCCAAACGGACCGGCCTTCGCTCCCTGCGGGAGCCAGAAAAAGGTCGGGCAAGCCGGGGAAAGGACCCCCCGCCCCGGGGACCTCGGCCGGCCGGAGCCTCGGTGCGGCGGAGAGGCGGCGGCCGCCCCCCGGGCCCTCTCCGCGGGCAGGGGCGGCGGGGACGGCGTCTTACCCTCGGCGGCAGGCCGCTTCCTGGGGCCGGCGCTTCCTCGGGCCGCCGCGGCCCCGTCTTGCTGGGGCTCCTGCCGAGGCTCGGGCTCGGGCGCCTCTCCCTGCGCGCAGCGGAGCGCCCCGGGCGGCGAGCGGTCGTCGGCGCCGGGCTGCGGGCGCCGCCGGGGGCCGTCGGGCTGGCGGGCCGAGGCGAGCCGCGGCGGGCGACTGTAGAAGTCGGGCAGCGCCGCCCGGTCCAGCGCCCGCCACTCGAAGCGGCCCTCCAGGGGCTGCCCGCGCCGAAAGTCGAAGTTCCAGCGGCGCCGGCCGGCCTCCTCCAGCTGCCGGCTCTGCGCCCGCCACTCGCGCGCCAGCCCCGGGTGGTCGACGGCGCCGAAGAGGCAGCGGCAGGCCGAGGGCTTGGGCGCCTCCGCCGGCCGGCCCTCCGCCCGCTCCAGCGGCGGGCTCCCGCTCGAGACGCGCACCTTCGACATGGCCCGCCCGGGCGCTGGCGGGGCGGCGGCGGCGGGGGAGCCGCGGGGCGTCCCGCTCGGGCCGAGGGCGGCGGGCGGCCTTTCCGAAGCCGGAGCCGGGCGAGGCGGCGCTTCCCTGGCGGACCGCGCGCAGCAGCCCTCCGGGGCCGGGCCTCGCATAAGCCGCGCGCGGGGCGGGCGGCGGGCGGCGGGGCGACCGAGGAGCGCTCTCCGCAAGTCCGGGGGCCGCCCAGGAGAGGCGAGGCGAGCGCCGGCCGGACCGCCGAGTCCGGCGGAGAGGCGGCGGCGGCGGGAGGCAGAAGCGGAGCCGGCGTTCCCGCGGCTAGGAAGGAGCCCCGAGCGCGGCGGAGCAAGAGGCGGCGGCGGAGGGCGCGCGCCTTCTGCGGCCCCCCTGCCCAATATGGCGATGGAAGGGAGGCTGGCGGAGAGGCGGGTGATTGACACGGCTCGTCTATTTAAACGGAGGCGGCGCGCCATTGGCCCGCGGAGGGGGCGCCGCCTCGGCGCAACGCTCGGCGCGCGCTCCCGCCCCGCAGGCTTTAAAGGTGGCGCGGGAGGCGCGGGGACGCGCGCCCCAGCCGCCCGGGGCTGCCCTCTCGCGGGGAGCCGTCGGACGGGCGGCCTGAAGCGGCGGAGCCCAGGCGGGAGGCTGCCGTGGCCGGCCGGCCGGCGGGTGGCTCTCGCGCAGGCCGCGGTGCCCAGGGCCCCGTTCCCTGCGGAGCAGAAGCGAAGGGGCGGCGGCTTCCGGCAAGGGGAGGCGGCGGAGACGAGAGGCCCCGGTCTCGGAGCCCGGAGGGGCCCCTCGTCCGGGGCCTCGGTTACTGCCCGCCTGTCGCCGCCGATGGCAGGTCGGCCGGCCTCCTGTAAGGCCGAAGCGGCCCTTTCCATCGGAGGCTGCCCGGCGCTTCTCTGCGGGGTCCCTGCCTTAATTTCCCTGCGGATTCCGCCCCCGGGTCTGTAGCCTTCCAGAGGAAACGTTGTGCTGCGTGACGGTCGATTTGGCCTTAAGCTATGATTGGTGGCTTAGCATCGTGTGAGCCCAGAAAAATCGGCCTCTCTTCCTTAAACTCTCCTTAAGGGATCGGCCGAGGGATTCCTCTTTCTGACTTCATCTAAGCCAGGATGTGCCCAAGATCTGGCTACAAGGAAGCCAGGAGGAAACTCCCGTGCATGTGGCCTGGCCCTCCCTCCTTTGCACGTCTGAATGCAGCCCCAGCAGGTGGAAGAAGGGAGCGAGAGTGTCCCAATTACATTTTAACTGGATTCCTTGCCACAAAGTCCTCCTTCCTCAAATGGGATACCCTGTTTCAATCTGTAGCTGGAGAGGATACATTCAGGGGGAGAAGCTGATCAGGATGCCTTTGTGTAGATCCAGGTGCTCCTGTTACACCTAGGTAGAGACAGGTGCATCACTTGTTTCACACATACCTAGTGGCTTTTGGGTTTCATCACTTTACCCCCCTAATAGCTCGTGACAAGTGCTACATTAAGTGACGTTTTCTATGTGTCACGTCATCAAAGATATTAAACCACTCCTAAGATGTATATTTGACCATTGAAATGATGGAGAGTTTCTGCCTTTTGGGATCAACCATCAACCTTAAGCAGTGTTTCTCAACCTTGACAATTTTAAGGCATGTGGACTTCAACTCCCAGAATTCCACAGCCAGCAATGCTGGCTGTGGAATTCTGGGAGTTGAAGTCCACATGCCATAAAATTGTCAAGGTTGAGAAACACTGCAAGGCTTAAAGGAACCAGCAGGTAAGAAACACTACAAACTGGCAGCAAAGAGGCCTTGAAAAAAATATTCGGGTGGCCTGATGTGTCTCTAAGTATAACAACCAGAACAGTGGAAAGAAGAATAGAACAGAACAGAATAGAATAGCTGGAAGGGATCTTGGAGGTCTTCTAGTCCAGCCCCCTGCTCAAGCAAGAGAACCTATACCATCTCGGACAGGTGGATGTCCAATCTGTTCTTTAAAAACTCCAGTGATGGAGCGCCCACGATTTCTGGTGGCAAGCTGTTCCACTGGTTAATTGTCCTCACTGTCAGGAAGTTTCTCCTTAATTCCAAGTTGCTTCTCTCTTGGGTCAGTTTCCAACCATTGTTTCTAGTCCTTCCATCTGGTCTTTGGTGAACAACCTGATCCCCCCTCTGCCTTGTGGCAGCCCCTCAGATACTGGAACGCTGCTATCATGTCTCCCCTATTTCTTTAGACTGGCCAAACCCAAGTCCCGCACCTGTTGTTCATATGTTTTAGTCTCCAGACCTTTGATGGTGGGCTCCCTGTGGTGCTCTATGGAAGTGAATGTTGGCCATTAAAGAAGCAGGATAGCAAGGGCTTTTGACTGTTGGTGTTCAAGAAAATTCCTGAGAATGTTGTGGACAGCCAAGAAAACAAACCAATGAACCGTTGAACCAATCAACACAATGTATTTTGGACACACTATGTATGCCAAGATCTATAATTTTGGAGAAGGTTCCTGCTAGAGGCACAAATGGCTCTAATTATCCTGTTTTGGACACGTTACGCAAAGTTCTAGCGCTTTGGAGAATAGTGGTGGAAAAGGTGGAAGGAGGAGAAAAAGATGGCCAGCAGTGGATGGTATGCTGGCTCAGGAATTCTGGGAGTTGAAGTCCACGAGTCATAAAAGAGCCAAGGTTGCCTACCCCTGGTCTAGGGTAACAAATGGAACAAAACAGTTTCTGCTTGCATGGAGGGTTGCTTGAAGTGGGTTCCCACTGAGGGAAAATCTGGTACCAAAATGAAGCGATGCGTTGCAAGGTCACTCTGCAAATGCCACCCAATTGCAGTTTCCTTGAGCTGCTTGTAGCAATACAGCCTGTGTAATGTGTACTAAGGATCATTTTTCCCCTCTGTGGTATTATTACGTATTATCACTAATTAAATGTATATGCCACCCACCTCTCTGTCAGGCAACACCTTGTGGCTTACACTATAAAGGCAGAGATAGAAACATTAAATATTAATATAAATAAGTTTAGAAACCAGAGAAAAATGGGGAGGGGTGGGAATCTTCTAGTCCACTAACCAGCTCCAGGGACGATGCCCCCATCAGAGCTCCGGGCAGAGCCAGATTTTGAGGCTCTTTTGGAAGATAAAGAGGATGGGCACAAAGATCCAGAGCAGGAGCCACAGCAGAAAACTCTCCTACTGGATCCCACCAGCTGACTGACAAGGTCCACAGCATGCCTCTTCTGCCAGAAAGAGTGGGGTGGACTATTGGGGTGAGACGGTTCCTTAGGTCAGGGGTCCCCAACCCCTGTTCTGTGGACCAGTACCGGTCCACAGCATGCCAGCAAGCAGGCCACATGAATGAGCAAAGCTCCATCGGGATGCTGGCAGTACTGAAAAACACCCCCCTTCTGGTCCACAAAAAAACCTTTCTCCATGGCACCGGTCCCTGGTGCCCAACAGGTTGGGCACTTCTGTCTTAGGTGGCCTGGATTCATCCCATAAAGGGCTTTCTAGGACCTGGCATTGGACCTGGAAACTGGACCCCGTGGTACGTAAGTTTGTACAAAGTGGCAAAATTAATGGGGCATTTTGCAACACCTGAACATACAGCAATGACCTGTTTCATCACACAAGCTCTTGTGTTGCTGGGCTGGCCTTCAGAGAACAAGAGTTTGGCAAAACACAAGCAGGCAACAGGCAGCTTTAGTTGGCTCTTAAAAATGTGGGGAGGGGATTGTGTGCCTTCCAGAAGTAGCTTCAAAATCAGTGTCGTGCCCACGAGGAGCCAAAATGCCACCCTGAAGCTTTGCCCGGTCCTAACAGCTGATCTCTCTAGCTTTCTTGACAGATGCAAGGACAGCAATGCAGCAAGCTGTCCATAGAATTAAATGGACGGTTTGGAGGGTCTAATAGCCTGATTTTTTTTTAAATGCACACATGCATCCAAATGGGTTTTAAACCAGATGAAATTCCACACAGAACTGCCCTGTGCAGTTTGCAGGAGAAACAAGTAAAAACAGAAAGAGGCCCTTGGCGTTCATCCCAGGTTTACACTCCAAACACATGCCACAAGCATTGTAAGCAAGGAGAGATCACCTTGCCTGTTATTTTTATTAGCTCAGAAGTTCCGTGTCACAACGGATCGCGTGGACAGGCATATATGGCCACAGCACCCTCTCCAAAGCAAATAAACAAAATTGATTTTCTGCTTCCAACTTCCTTCTCACTTGGTTGACGAGAAGTGTGTGCATGTGTGTGTTTGGGGGGGGGGGAAATGCTGCAAAACGGGTTGTGTGGTTTTAAAAGCACTCCCATTGGCAAGTGGTAGGGTGCTTCAGGATTTGAATGCATCACTTGGTAGTGCGATGCTTGTAAGTGAGGAATACTTGTATTTTTTCTTGAATTGAATTCAATAATGCCCCCGCTGGAGTTCAGCAAACTCTCTCCATCTTCAATTAACCAGGATGTTTGCAAACCAAGGTGCACTGGGTTTAGCCTTCCTGAGATCTGTGGGAGAAGGGGCTGGTCTCCGGGGCAGCCCCCCAAAGATGGACCCTTGTCCCCAGGGCAAAGCCAACCAGGAAGTGCTGGAAAGGGAAAACAGCCTGGGAATTGCCAGCCCTGCTCATATTCCCAGGGCTCAGCCATGCTGCTTGGCCGTAGGATTTGCATAACTGCTGGAACACACAGGTGGGCACAAACCACTATTTAAATGTGATCAGGAAAGTCCTGCCAGCCATAAGTGGGATCTTGAACATTGCTTTTGGCCAGCTGCCATGGGCAAATGTGTGGATCCTCCTAACCTCCTTTACTTTCCATGATGATAAAGAGAGAGAAACATCCAAATGGCTGAAATTAAGTTCAAAGCAAAATCAAATGCTTGCCCTGGCATCCGAATCTCCTTTGGACAAAACAACCTCCGCACAACCACACACCCTTTTATTTTGTTTTCCATATTCAATTACAAGTAGTCCTCACAACTTACAAGAGTTTGTTTCGTGACTGTTCAAAACAGCACT